CTGTAAGGCTCGCCTGACTCTCGCTACGGGGCCAGGAAGGGGCAGAGTGAGCCCGGGGACCATCTTACTGTTCCAGGGAGGATCGCGGTCCTCAGAGGCCGATAGGAACATGTGAGAAGGACACGGGTGCCGGCCTGGTAGGGCCCTGGCTGGCCCGAGTGCGGCCAGTGACCACGGAAGAGCCAAACGCAGGGACAGAACTGGGGAGCCTGCAGCCACCGCCCACTGTGACACCCACCCATCTTCGGGTTCATCCTCCATGCCCACCGTCATGGAATTCTCTCTTGGAAACAAAGCTCTGCGCCTTCCTTCTTGCCCGGGACCCCACAGATGATGTGAGTCCTTCCAGGGGGTGAGGGGAGGCAGGGAGGTCTGGAAGGGTTGATCAGCTAGAAAGTCAGCCTCTTGCAAGCAGTACTGGACCTGGGCAGCCGTCCTCAGCAGCTACAAAAGCTTCAAGGGAGAGGTCAGGAGAAGGAAAGGCCTGAGTCTGCATGGGTTTTGAAGAGGAAACTGAGCTGAACGCCATTAACTATGAGGGGGAGATGGCCCTTTGCCGTTTGAGATCAGGCCGACCCCGCTTGAACCAAAAAGCCCACCTCGGCCAGTCACGGGAGCCATGTGGGTGCCGTGGTTCCTGGTGAGATACGGTGGCAAACACGACGTGTTTAACCCAAATCTAATCACAAGGAAACCATCCCAACGAATCCAGACTGTGGGACTTTCTATGCCACCCGTCAATGTCAGGAAGGACAAAGGCAGGGATTGTTCTGGATTCAAGGAGACCAAAGAGACTTGACAGCCAAGCGGAACGCCTGGTCCTTATTTAGATTCTGGGTTTTCAAAAGGCCATGAAGGACACTTTGGGGACAGTCAAACAAATTGCAATGTGGACTTTGTATTCGATAATTGTATTGTTTGGATGTTAATTTTCTTCGGGTATGATCAGGGTATGTGATTCTGTGTGGGCTGGTGTCCATGTTCCTAAGAGATAGATACACACTGAGGTATTTAAGGTTAGAGTGTATGTAACTAAGTTTAAACTGCAGGAAAAAATATATGTACACACACACACACACACACACACAGACACACACACACCTGATCTCGGTAAAGGGTATACAAGAGTTCATTGTAGTGGTTTTTCAGCGTTTCCGCAAGTTAATGAATTTTTCAAAAAAGTTTCTAGAGAAATGGGCTTCTCACGGCAATGGGTTCCTTTCCAACCGTCCAGGGAGCATTTAGCATGACTCTTCTGGGTGGCGGGCCAGACGCAATTCACAAATTACAGGCGAGGTGTACCCCCGACGTGGCGAGGGAAGGCGCGGACCTCCCCAGCACAGGCCTCGTCCCAGGAGCTCGTGCAGGTGTCTCGTCTGCCCGTCCACTGGGGGCTCACCTCCAGGCCAGCTGCTCCACGGAGGGGGGCAGGGAGAGCTCGTGGAGCGGACCCCGCCTCCACCCCCTCCGGGCAGGTGCAGCGGCAGATCACTGTCCACTGGGAATGAACCATACCGTGATCTCCCGTTAGTCGTGAAGAGGTACCTCCACTGGCTTTGTTGCCCATAAGGTCAAGTTCGAACTCCGAGGCTCAGCGTCCTTCTCATGCACGTGAGCGTGTGACTGGTCCAAACGCATGATGCCCTTTAGAACTGTGGACCACTCCCTTGTCAGGGATCAGACTGCCCTGGACCCCGGGACTTGTCCTCAGATAGCTCAGTCCAAGCTCCGTCTTCTCCCCAGGACTGGCTTGCTGAGGTTTTTTGCCGTCTTTGCTCCCGCGGCCATTGTATCCCCAAAAGCCTGACCTGGCCTGGAGCTCTTAGAAACGGATGTTCAACAAACAGATCCCGAATAAAGGGACGAGTGAAAATACCAGGAAGCAGCCGCAAGGGCTCCAAGGGAATGAGTGTTTCTCACATCAGAATCATGGGCCCGAGAATCTCGAGGCAATCGGTGTGCGCAGACAGTAGAGGAGATGTTTCTCCCGGCAGGAAATTAATAGATACATACACGTTTCATACACCCAGGGCCATCTTACACGACATGAGCTCGGAAGTGTGTTCTAGAACGTGAACTGTACCAGAAGCTTCCTGATAAGTCCTGGGGACTTCGTGCGGATTCCTCCCAGTTTTTAAAGCCGCATTCCTCAAACGCTAAGTCTGAACGCCTGGTTGAATGCGGAATGAGTCGCACCTCATCAAAACCAGAAGTGACTTCTTGGGTTGCAGGAAGGATCTGGTAAGTTGTTTTGAATTTTCCTTCCTTCCTTCCTTCCTTCCTTTCTTTCTTTCTTTCTTTCTTTCTTTTCTTTCTTTCTTTCTTTCTTCTTTTTCTTTCTTTCTTTCTCTTTTTAAAGAAAATTAAATTGAGGGGAATTTTTCATTGACAGTGAAATACGTCCTGAGCTGCGGATTAATACCTTCATAAAAATTCATCTATACAAAGTGCTGCACGTCTTATTTGTGTTGGAGTCTCCGAGGTCTGCAATGCAAAGGGGAAAGTACTTTCCTGGAATATATTTGTGTCTGTCACGAGCTACATCTTGAGGAAATTGGCAGGCATTCGAAGTGGAAAACTCCTCAGCGTTCTGTTTGGTTTGGATTTCTTTGACTCGGGGGTGGGGGGGTGGGGGTTGCTGAGAACTAAAATCAGAACTATCTGCTTTTAACAAGCATCTAACATTTCCTTTGCTTTGTGTGTCATGAGTGTTTGATAAATGCTGGCTGAGCTGAGTCATCTCCTCCATCCCTCCGTGGGGTCGTGGGGGTTAGTTGGTCTGTTGTCACACAGGGAAGAATTCTGAAAGGAAAGAATCTTCAGAATGATCTCTCTACCAACCATGTCTCTCCCCCCTGCAACTCCCTGTGCCCAGCCCCGCCAGACCCGGCTTGCTAAAATGCGTCTCGGCTCCTTCCCCAGCAAGCACAAGTCTGTGGAGTGAATTCCCAGTTTGCAGTCCCCCACAGCCCGCCCCTCGCCTGTTCTCTGGGACCCTGTGTTCTTACCCACAGGATTCAGAGCCCTGTGGACACGCCGGGGCTCTGCTCTCCTCCCCGGTCTCTTCCCCCAACCGAATGCCGTCCCCCGCCCTGTGTGTCTGTGGAAGTCCTGTTTCACCCTTCAGGGCACCGCTCCCAGCCCTCACCCTCTGAGAGCATCCCCCCAGCCCCACCCCGCTGCTGGAGTGCCCTGGGCCTGTCTGCAGCGTATTTGCAAACAGAAGAAAGAGTGATAGATCTTCATACACGCTCTTCGTACCCTTTACAAATGTGTGAAAACATTCAGCTGCTGTAAAAATCTTTTGAAGAAAATAAGATCCAATTAGCGTCGACTTTCATGTTGGGAAAGCTGTGGGTTTTCGAAGGAATTCCTTTCACTCATTCAGCGACCAGGTTTTTGGCACCTGCTCTATGCTAGGCCCTGCAGAAGAAAGGGGACACAAGCCCTGCCTTCAGAATGCTGAAGCTCTCTGGCCCCAGGGCATGTTGTCCAGCACCTACCCTGCAGCTGGGATGTGGGCTCACGACCGAGGGGGAGACACAGGTGTGGCCGGGGAAGACAAAGCTCTGGCTCCTGGGTGGGTTGCAAGTCAGGGAGTGGGGGAGGTGTGCTGGGAAGTCAGTGCCTTTGTAAAAGCCTTGGATGCCGTGCTCAGGAGTTGGCAGTGCTGTTTTTTTTAAGGCTGAGAATGAAAAAGAAACTCAAAAGGAGAACGGTGGCACATGGAAGTAGCTAGAGGTGACGGGGAGGGGAGGGTACCAACAGGCCCTTGAGCAATCAGGATGTGGGCAGGATCTTTATTTTTAAATGAGTCCTGGTGGGGCATCCTCAACTGGGTCATGGCTCGCCAAGGGCACACCCACCACCCACCGGTGCCCCCTCTGCCCTCACCCAGGGCCCCTCTACCACCCACCACATGCCCCCAGCGCCCTCCAGTTGCCCTCCTCGACTAGCCTTCCCTCCTCCCTGGCAGGTGGCTCCGGTGCTGCCCTCTCCTCTGGCTCTTTGTCCCCTCCCCTCTCCCCAGGTGGGTGGGAGGCTGCAGGGGGCAGCATGCTCAGACTGGGGCTAGATGACCCTTCCTAGAATGGGGTGGCTGGGGGCAGGGCCCTCCACCAGACAAGGGGATGCCTGAGTTTCTAATTGGCCATCCCAGAAGCAGTAACCTGGGTGGGAACCCGCATCCTGACGCCTAGACTCAGGTCCAGGCCTACAGTAGTGAGGACCCGATCAGCGGCAGGGAACCCATTAAATGAGGAGGAAGGGACTGTGGACAGTGCCCAATGTGCCGGGTAGCCCATCCAAACCTGACAGGCGGCTGGGGGTGTGGTGAGGGCACAGCCTGTCAGTGTGGGGGTCACCGAGGACCACCGGGCAGCTGGGCCCACTCGGGCTCATGCAGACAGTGGTTTGGTGAGGGCCACAGGGGTGGAATTCTGGTTGGGCCTGGGTCCGCTCAGCACCTGCTGGAGGTCAGGGCCACCAGTGTATGCCGGGGCTGGGGACCAGGGCCCCTTCCTGCAAAGGCTGTCTGGAGAGCTGTTTCCTCACTCTGAAGGCAGGGCCCGCCAGGGGACCTGTGGGGCGTGGGGCCTGCCGGGGCCTGGCCGGGGCCTGCCAGGCTTTGGGGCCTGCCCAGGGCTTAGGGCCTGCCGGGTTTGGGGCCTGCCCCGGGGATCGGGGCCTGCCCAGGGCCTGGAGCCTGCCGGCTCTGGGGCCTACCCGGGGCTTGGGCCCAGTCTGCCGCTCGGGGGCCTGCCGGCTCGGGCCTGCGGGTCAGGGCCTGCCCCGGGGAGGTGGGGGGGGGTAGGAGGCCGGGGCTCGGCCGGGGTCAGGGCGGCCCGCTCCGCCCCGCCGGCCCGGCGCCCCCTCGCGCCCCCTCGCGCCCCGGGCGGGCCCTGCACGTCTCGCGAGCGGCCCGGAGCGGCGGGGGAGGCGGGGCCCGGCGGCCGGGCAGGGCCGGGGCGGCGCCGAGGCCGGGCCGGAGCGGAGCCCGAGCGGAGCGGGGCGGCGGCAGGGCGGTGGGGGGTGGGGGGGCGGGCCGGCGGAAGATGGCGAACGTGGGGCTGCAGTTCCAGGCCAGCGCCGGGGACGCGGACCCGCAGAGCCGGCCGCTGCTGGTGCTCGGGCAGCTGCACCACCTGCACCGCGTGCCCTGGAGCTACGTCCGCGGGAAGCTGCAGCCCCGGGTCACCGAGGAGGTGAGCGGGCCGCGCGGCCGCCCCGAGGCCCCGCCCGGACCCCGTGGGGGCGCGAGGCCAGCCCGGGGCGGTGCGGGGGGGGCCCCGGGAGCCGCCCCCGGGCGCTGCCTTCGAGGGCCCGCGCGGCCCCTGTGGGGGGCGCCGGCCGCCCGCTCCCGGAAGCCCTCCTGGCGGCACCCGGGGTCGCAGCGTTTGAAGCCCGGCGGCCCCCAGCCTGGCCTTTGAAATCCGCACGGCTTAATCGCACAAGGGTGGACCGGTGCCCGCAGACACACTCGCTGAGCTGTCGCGAGAGGCCACACATCTTAATTACCGCCCGTGGGTGCCCCGGGGACGCTGCAGCCGTGGCCTGTCGGCCTGGCGAGCGAGCGCATGCAGGGCCCGGCTGCCGGCATGCGGGCTGTTGAAGTCTCGTGTCTGTCTCTCGTCTCTCCCCTTCCCATCCAGCTCTGGCAGGCTGCTCTAAGCACGCTCAACCCCAACCCCACGGACAGCTGTCCCCTGTACCTGAACTGTGCCACCGTGGCCGCTCTGCCCTCCAGGGTCAGCCGGCACAACAGCCCCTCCGCCGCCCACTTTGTCACCCGACTGGTGCGCACCTGTCTGCCACCTGGAACCCAGCGGTGCATTCTGGTGAGTGCCCAGGGCCACCCTCGCATCGTGGGGAGCGTGTGTTCCCGTTGCTCAGCCCCGGTGCAGGCACAGCACCCCGGCTCATGGGACCTCCGAGGTGGACATGCTACCACAACCCATGACATCATAAGCCCTGCTTACAGATAGGGAAACTGAGGTCGAGAGACCAGGCCGTTTGCCCCAGATCAGTCTTGGTGGTAGATCTGAGACCCAGACCCAGATATCCTGAGCCCATGCCCCTCCATGTCCTGCTTTCCCGTCTTGGAGGCCGTCTGCACCGGGTAGCGGACGTTTTCTTTCTCCCACCGTGAGACAGTGGCTCCGGGAAGGTCCCCTGTGGCGGCTCTGTTGGGACCCTAGCTCTTCCCTGGGTGTGGCTCCCGCGGGGATGCCCCTGCTCAGGGCTCTGCCCCTCTGTGCTGCAGATGGTCTGCGAGCGGTCCGATGCCTTCGCCTCTGCCTGCGCCCTGGCCCGGGCCTTCCCGCTCTTCACGCACCGCTCCGGGGCTGCGCGGCGCACAGAGAAGAAGACGGTGACGGTGGAGTTTTTCCTGGTGGGACAGGACAATGGGCCTGTGGAGGTGTCCACTTTGCAAGTGGGTGTCCAGATGTTCGCCCCGTGTCCCCGGCCCGCATGCGCTGGGGCCGCTGGAAGGGGAGGCGGGGAGCGGTCTCTGTGCCTTCCCGGGGAGGACAGTGGGAGTGGGACATCCGAGGAGGCTTTTCCAGACCCAGGTAGCTGGCCCCTCCCTCGGGGTGGGACTCCTTGTCAGGATTCAGGTGTTCTTTACTGGGCACCTACCCAGTGCCGGGCCCTCTCCTGTTTTAGTCTGAGAATCCTCTCCGCGCGTGTGTCCGTCCCCCTTTGTGGTGCACTCTTACGTGCGGTTTCGTTGGACCTTCAGAATAATCCTTTTGAGGCCAGCAAGGCTGGGAGGGACTCCAGGTTAGGAGTCCTGGTCTGGGCTGACCGGTGGGTTCCTTCCCCGTGCCAAGTGTCCCAGACCCCGTGGCCATGGGCTCACCCTCTCCACCCCCACCCAGACCCAGGCTGTCCTTCCTACCCCACCCCCCACGGCTGTCCCACGCCAGCACCCCTCACCGGCCACCTCCTCCACCTGGATTCTTTGCTCTAGAAGGAGAGAACATGCTTCCATCCCTACCGTCTTGCAACGGCTCCTTTCCTTTCCTGGCATTGATCTCCAGACTTTGAAAAAACATGGTCTAATTGCTTTGCCTTTCTTAACTCCTCTTTCTCCCTCAGCCCTTTTTCTTCAACCCAAAACCGAGTTTCCACCCCGCATCCTGACATTGTTTTTTAGGGCCTTGTCTTCTGGATTTGACTACTTGTCATCCCTCCTGGAAGAGTCTGCCCCCGCCAGAGTCATGCCTCCTTCCCTTGGCCCGCCAGCCTGCCGCCTTCTCCATCCCCTTCCCTAGTACTCCCACATTCAACCTCCTTTTGTCTTCTCTGGGTTCTCGGAGCGCCTGTGGGCTCCATCCCACCGACGGCCACCAATGGCCACCGACGACCATTCTCCCCTCTAGCTGCAAAGCTTTCCTTCTGAGTTCCAGACCTGAGCCCACCCTGGACCGCCTCCCCCAATGTCCTCCAAGCCCTTCTCTTCCCTCCCCGCTGACCATGGTGGACTTTCTGTCCTCCTCAGCTTCCCTCCCCAGGTTCTTCTGCTCCAGGCCTGCGTGGTCTCAGTCTGCCATCTGCCCACGTCCCTTTCCCAGAGGCAGCTGGCCAGCTGGCTGCCATGGCCTCACCCGCAGTCAGTCCCTCTGCCCACTCAGTGCCATCCCACCTGACGTGACACATCTCTGCTTGGCTTCTGTGCCCTGCCCTGGGGTGGGAGCCTTGGGAGGGCAGGGACCTGGTCTCTGGTCCTAGCGTGGGCCCAGTATGTGACGAGGGCCAGTGGGTTGGTGAGTCTCCTTGACCCCCACATCCAGTGTGTCCTACTCTGCCACTGCCATTGCCTTGTGGAGCTCCCCACTGCATCCCGTGGCTCTCCTGGGCCACTGGGGCAGCCTCCTCACTGGTCTTGCCTCCAGATGCCTTCCCTCCACCTCCCTTCCCACTGCTGCTCGTAGCTCGCAGCTCGCGTAGACAGCCCTAGGAGGTGGGACCTGTTGTTCTCCCCATCATAGGGCTAAGCAGACCGAGGCAGCTTGGGGCTGTTAGGTGACTCACTGGGGCCACACCAGCAAGGGACAGAGCCAGGTCTTCACGGCTGCCGCCATCTGCCAGCCCTCTTGCCCGTCTGTCCTGGCTTGTGAGCACGGGAGCCTCAGGCACTCCGTGTGGCCTTTTCCATACTACAGAGACCTTGTCAGCCCCTCACAAGTTCTCTGCCCCCTTTGGCCTCTCACGCCCTCCTCCACTGTGGTGGTTAATGGAGTGAGGTGTCATGATTCTCTGCTGGACAGGAGTACCTTGGACGCCTTTGAATTCCCAGGGTCTAGTGTGGAACCTGGCACACAGTTGGTGCTCATGGAGGTGTGGATGGAATGAATGAATGAACGAATGATCCATCTTGGGGGGGACAACAAGGCACAAGCTCTTCCCCAAGGTCACAGGGCTCTTCCCCAAGGCCACGGGGCTCTTCCCCCAGGTCATGGGGCTCTTTCCCAAGGTCTCGGGGCTTTTCCCCCAGGTCACGGGGCTCTTCCCCAAGGCCATGGGGCTCTTCTCCAAGGTCATGGGGCTCTTCCCCAAGGTTTTGGGACTCTTTCCCAAGGTCACGGGGCTCTTCCCCCAGATTGCAGGGCTCTGCAGTGGCGGAGGGGCACTGGGTGCCTCCCCCGGGCTTCCCCACAGGGGCCGTGTGCCCTTTTGCCCAGCCAGGCCGTGCCGGGGCCTCTGAGCCCATGCAGGGCTGTGAGGCGAGCGCCCGGCCCCCTTAGAGACAAGTCTTAGGGCCCTGACGTGCTTCCCAGACAGCGGCCACGGGCTGGGTCAGAGATGAGGGATGGATGGGCTCCGCAACGCCCACACACAGGGACCCTCGACTTCCCAGAGGAGAGCCTGCTGTCAGGCGGCAGGGACCACATGGTCACATTTCATATCTGAGCTGTCAAGTCCTGCATCTCTGCCTTTGAGGCTCGGGGCTTTAATTACCTCGGGAGGGCAGAAGCTCTTCGAGCTCGTCAGCAGGGCCTGAGAGGCCGCCAGGCTGGTGCGGTGGACCCAGGGCCGGCCCTCGCTGACCCCAGGGAGCCAGGACAGCAGTGATGAGCTCACTGCTGTCCGCAACCCCCCACCCCCGTGCGGCTTTGCTCTTTCAGTCTTACTTCTTCCCTGCGCGCTGGGAGGTGTGGCTGGCCACCGTGTGTCCGACGCTTGGCGGGGGGTGGGCACCGGGGCGGGGCAGGGGACAACAAGAGCAGTAGCTAGGCAGACATGAAGTAGAAGGCAAAGACCTTCCAGGATCAGCGCCGAAGCGAACGTGGGACACAAGTTCTTTCCAGAAAGTAGGGGTGGGGCCATGGAGGGCGGCCAGTGTGGGGCCTCGGGCGGCCCCTGTGTTGGAGCACAGACACCCATCTGGAGGGCCTCCCTGGTGCCAGGTGGAGTGCGGGTGCGGGGCCGGATCTCTGCTCCCTTCTGGGCTCAGGGCCGCCGCACGAGGCAGGGTGTATGCGCTCTTCCCCCCGCACCCCGTGCCCAGAGCCGTGTGGCATCGGGTGGCCGGGAACATAAAGGCGGGGAGTCTGTGATGCACTCCATGGGGCTCACGTGAGGGCCACAAGGGGGCCAGTGGGCCTGGGGACGCAGGACGAAGAGCACATTCCCTCCTTTGGGGGGGTCCAGAGAAGCTTCTGGAGGGCACAGCCTTTAAGAAGGACCACAGAGGAGGACTGGGATCCTGACTAGAGGAGGAGGGAGGATGTATGGGTTGGCTGTGGCAGCCACAGGCAAACCCCGCAGGCGGACCGGCTTCAGCAGCAGCCTCTCTCACGGTTTGGTTCTGGGGCTGTCTGAGATCAGGGCCGGGTGTGATGAAGACTCCCTCCCGGGTTTGCGTTTGCAGGTGGTGGCCTTCTGGCTGTGCCCTCCCTCCCGCTTCCTCTGAGGACGCTAATCCCATTGTGGGCCCTACCCTTCTGACCTTACAGAACCTGAGCGCCTCTCGAAGCCTCCTGCGACCATCACATGGGAGGGGGCTTCATAGGAGTTTCAGGGCGAGACAGACATTCCACTCATAGCAAAGGACAGCACTTCCCCCGAGAGAGGATATGGGATTGGCAGGTGCCCGAAGTAGGAATGCCCAGCGTGCACTCAGGGCCAGGCACCAGGGCCACCTGCCCCCAGGGTGAGGGGAGTAAGCGGCAGAAGAGGCCTGGAAAGGAAGGCGGACCCCACGGACACCGGCTGGGGTGCCAGGCTGAAGGTTCTGGTGTAACCTGGAGGCCAGGTGTGGAGCCATGTGAAACTTTCTGTGGCTGGAAGGGGGGTCACAGACATGGGGGAGACAACAGCAGGTCACGTGAGTCTTATTTCCGCCTGACCTCGACGCCCCGTCAGCAGCCCTGAAACCCCCCCAGTGACATGTACTGCTGGTGCCTTTGATCCCCATGGGAGCGGACCGGGAGGGACAGCCCTTCCTACCTGGTCTTAGGTCCCCAGTGACAGCCTCTGGTTTCTTTCCCCAGTGCTTAGCAAATGCCACAGAAGGGGTGCGGCTGGCTGCCCGTATTGTGGACACTCCCTGCAATGAGATGAACACGGACACCTTCCTCGAGGTTCGTGGCCCCGGGGAGTCACGCCAGGGCGGGACCAGGGTGGGCGAATCATTGGTAGACACCAAGGAAGTCAGGGGATACCCCGGGCTGGAGGCGACAGTGCCTACAGTCTTGGCACCTTGCCTGGGGACACCCGGGGCTGCTGCGGACGGCGTCCTGCTGTCCACCCAGCTACGAGGGGCCCCAGGCCTCAGCGGATGGAGGGAGGACAGCACCTTCTCCTCAAGGCCTCTCTGTGGGACCGCAGCCACAGTCTGCAGGAAGCTGTAGCTGTTCAGAGGGTGAACCTTCTGTCCTGGATTTAATCGTGCTCCAGGCCCGGTGAGCGGAGGCCCTGGCTTCCGGGCCCGCTCCTCTCTGCCACGCAGGCGTCGGCTCCTCCTGGCCCCGAGCCTCGCCCTCGCCTTGACTTAAGCCATCTTCATGTGTCTTCGTGTTGTTTTTTCCATGAACGTGTCCAGGAGATTAAGAAAGTTGGGAAAGATCTGGGCATCACCCCGACGGTCATCCGAGATGAGCAGCTGAAGGCGAGAGGATTTGGAGGTGGGCAGGGCTGGGCCTCGCGGGCCGTGGCCTCAGGACGGGTCCCAGGCGCTGGGGGTGGCAGGGTGGCTGTGGGCCATGCCTGGGTGGCCTCCAGCTTCCCTTGGAAGGAGCCAGCTTTTGTCCGACCCCAAGGCCAAACCTCGGGAAGCAGACCATCTCTGGGGGAGAAAGGAGTGCTGATTCAGATTCCGGAAGCCGTGGTGTCCAAGTCCTTCCCCAGCCCACTCTCTGTCCACGAGGGCTGCCGTCCTGGCTGCCTGGGCCAGCTCAGCAGGACCCTTCTGCTCCTTGTGCACACAAGCCCACGTTCACATCGGGCCTCGTCGTGGTGGCTCTCTGTCTCTGGAGCCCTTCCCCGAGATGCTCTCACAGCGGGGCCATCGTACCCTGAACGTCTTGGGTCAAATCCACCTCTTCAGAGGGCCTTTCCTGATCACCAGACCCATCTTCCCTGCTCCCCCCCCCCCCCCCCAGGCACTGGAGGCATGGTGACAAGTAGGATAAGGCACTTTCAGTCTGGCTGGGGAAAAGTCACCTCATTCCTTATCTATGGCTACCAAACAAATTACCCCAGAAGGAAGCAGCTGAAGGAAACACACAGTCCAGTGGGTGGGGAATCAGGCATGGCTAGGCTGGGTCCTGGGCCCAGGGTCTCTCCCAGGCGGAGACCAGCACCTTGACCAGGTCTGCTGTCATCTGAAGGCTCAACTGGGGCCGGTGATGCAGTCCCAGCCAGTCTTTCTTGCGGTGCTGTCACCAGGCCTGGGGGCCTTGTTGGCTGTTCCTGATCCCCTCAAAGCAAGGTTTCTGGGTGAGGGAAAGTGAGCAAGAAGGAGGCAAGGTCTTTTTTGCAACCTAGTCTCGGAAGTGGTGTCTCATCACTTACGCCATATCCAGAAACAAGGCGCAAGGTTCCATCCACACTGAGATGGGACCCTGGGGGCAGGGATCGGTGGGGGCAATCCTAGAGGGGCCTGCCACACAACGCACAAACCAACAAGTGGAGGGAGAGATTACGAACGTCAGGGAATCTTCACCAAGGAGATGGCATTTACAGTGGGTTTTGCAGGATACATGGGAGTTTGTCAGGTGGCCATTATCTGCTCTCGTCCTGACGTTAATGATCGTTCAGTTCACTTCCTGGGAGGCCCTGAGGCCTGGTCTCTGCCCACAAGAGGCTTTCTTGAGAAGACGGGGCACGTACACCCCGCAGTGAGGCAGTGGTGGGAGCGGGCTCAGAGGGGGTGGTGTGGCGCCGAGTGCACAGAGGGCTCAGGGAGGGGGGAGCGAGCGTGGGCTGGAGTGGCCTTGAAGCATTATCCAAAAATCATTTCATTCTGCAGTCCTGTTCATTTCTTTCTGGGAATGATACAGTTTTTTTTTTTTTCCTCAGCGGGTTTTCTTGCCTAACGATACTTCACACAGAATTCATTTGCAGTCCCAGAGCATTGGAACTAATTTGCATTCCCCGATCCCACGCTGGCCAGGGGGCAGGAGAGGGGGCAGGGTGCTTGGGCTGGGGCTGTACACGCTCCAGGAGAAGTAGTCATGCGCCAGCAGATATTTCTGGGGGGGGAGCTGTTGTTTTTGGGGGGGCCGCTGGGAGTTGTCCGCTCAGTTCAACCTGAGTCCAGCTGACCCTCTCCCTGTGCTTTCTGCAGGAATCTATGGTGTTGGCAAAGCTGCTGTCCACCCCCCTGCGCTGGCCGTCCTCAGCCACACCCCAGAAGGAGCCACGCAGACCATTGCCTGGGTGGGCAAAGGGATCGTCTATGACACCGGGGGTCTCAGCATCAAAGGGAAGGTGAGGTGCAGGGGCCAGGGCTTGGGCAGGGCCCCTGGGTGGGGAAGGTTCTCGGTGGCCTCGTCAGCTCTCAGAGGCACCAGCAGAAGACAGCGAGCAAGGTTTCTGGGGCCTTGGCGTGCGTCTGGGGAAGAGGTTCAGGAAGGGTCGGTGGGGCCGATTCCTCGCTGGCAGGGGCCATAGTATCACGTCCACGCTCCGAACAGGGATCTGGAAACTAAAAGTCCGGACAGGATCCAGAGAAAAGCAGAAGAAATGATTAAAAGGCTGGAAAATGAGCCCAAGGAGGCACAGTTTGAGGAATCTTGATTCTGTCTGAAGAGAAGTGCGTGGGGTGGCGTCCCCATGACCATTAGGGTTTCCGCAGACAGAATGCTTCGTGCGAGTCTGCACGAGCCCACTCGGAGAACCGGCCCCCCGGTGAAGGCCATGGGGCTTTGGCCTCGCAAGTAAGCCGCCTGCTGGTGTTCCCGTGAGGCCCGGTGGCAGAAGTCTCCTACCGGGGGCCTTTAAGCAGGGTCATCTCAGGAGCTGGGCCACCAAGGGCTCAGCTCTGCCTCTGAGCTGCCTGCCCTTCTCCACACCAGGCACGTTCGGGCCTGCTGCGTGCTGGGAGCCGGGATGGCCCTGGGAAGAGGAGGAGGGACAGTCTTCATCTGCTCATGTCACACACTTGGGTTGAGCAACACTGGGCACCGGGCCTGGGCTGGGCTCTGCAGCGCCAAGACCGAGAAGGGCTGGGAAGGAGCGGGCGTGTGAAATCTGGGCCCCAGGAAACCAGGAGGAGGAGAGCCAACCTTCCCAGAGAGAAAGCTCTGGAAGACAGAGGACAGGCTAAGCTCACGCAGAGTAGACGTGGAGAGCTGACAGTTGGTGCGGTGCACAAATGTGTCCTGTTGGCGCAAGGGCTGGTCTATAATTTGAATTAGTTACCAACATGTAAAAAACAGGAAGAATTCTCACAGAAGACGGGCTATCTGACCTTTTGTAAACTGAGGCAATCCGGTGGTGTGGGCCATCCACCTCCGCCTGGAGGCCTCCCGCTGGAGCTGAGAGGCACTTTCTGACCTGGGCCCTGGTATCAGTCGCTATTTTGGGGAGATTGTCCACTACCATTTGCACCGCTAGCCTGTCTGGTCCATTCGGTACCTAGAGTGGATGGTCTGTTTGTCTGTTTTTTTTTTTAACATCCCTCCTCCCATAAACAGCAGGATTTTTAGGCCTGATCAGGAAATGATTCAATAGTAAAGGTTAAAAAAAACAAACACCAATAGTGAATTCACCTTTATTGAATTCCGTACATATTATCATGCCAGGAAAAAAAGGGAAATAAATATTACAGGGGCACCTGACCAGCCCCGTCGGTGGAGCCCGCAACTCTTGATCTTGGGGTTGTGAGTTTGAGCCCCACGTTGGGTGCAGAGATGACTTAAAGATAAAATCCTTAAATAAGTAAGTAAGTAAATATTTAAATATTATAGTACACATAAAACAGTAATAGATCAACACTTTTAAATCACATTCATGTGATTTTTTTTTTTGGATGGAAAGAACTTCTGCCTCCCTCTTAGTCTGTTGTGGTCAAGGCCATAGGTTTCAGCTTCTGTCTGAAAGCCGTGGCTTCCGCAGGTTTGTCTGTGATGTCATCAGAATTGGTCTTTCGCACATCTCTACACGTACTGCACGGACAGAGCTTGGTCGGTCCATCTGCACTCATGCTTGATCCAAAAACACTGTTAATTTGAATTAGGAAGTTGCCATCTCATGAAGCAATTTGTACAGGGTACCCAGGAAAAGTCCTTCATGTAAGGATCACTTGGCAGAGACTGCCCCAAACCCCGTTGCCCAAGAAGCTCCAGAAATCGTGATGCTGTCCATGTGTTCCGTTTCTAGTGGCCTTCACGTGTCCGTGGAGTAAAAATGTGTTAAACACGAGTCCAGGGGCTCCCATAGCCTGAGGGAGGCCGGGAGTCCCCAGCTCCCTGCACCCATGGGTTTGCTCAGAGTCACTGTTGGAGGCAGGACGGTGTGGCGTCACGGCCGTGTAGACTGGGAGTATAGAAGCTGGCCTGCCCAGCTGTTGGCTGGGAGACACACCACGTAGCCCCCGCCTGTCCGGTCAGCCCTGTACCTGGCAGAGGATAAGCGGTGAGAATAGTTGGGTTTGAACCTTTTATCTATATGATCAGAACTCACTTAGATTTTTCGGGAGAACCATTTCACCCCAGATGACAGCAGGCCGACCGACTTTTAGCAAGTGAATTACTGTTTTCAGACCCCACAGCCAGTGCGCCCCTCTGGCTGCGCCTGGTACTGGCCAGCCCTCTCTCACCCACGATGCCGGCTCTTGTCCCTGAGGCTGCGGAGCGCTGGCGGGTAGGATTCCCAGCTCCTTCCTTCTGCGAGCAGATGCTGGCTTGCTGGAGGGCCAGAGTGAGAAGCAGGGGCTCCTGAGAATGAGTCCTTTTGTTGGGGACACCTGACCCAATCCTGCAGGAGGAGTCACCATTCGGTCTCCAAAGACTTCAAAGGCAAATCAAGATCAGTGTGAATGCAGGTCTCAAATGTGTTAAGTGTCAGGAACCCCCTTCCTTTCTTAACAAGCATTGACCCCAAGGGGATTTTTTTTTAAATCAGAGTGATATTTAATAGACGTTGATATTTACCCTACTAGAAATGAAGACTGGGAAAGATACTTAATAATCTATTTTAAAATAACAATGCAAATCCTTTGCATGTTCATGTAAATAATATAACTTTATGAAAACAACTGTATATTCCAAAATGAAAACACACTTGCCAAAAGAGTGGCGTGGTTTTACATCTTGCTGATCTCTCTCCTGTCGACCTCGATAGAAGACAACTGAGATCCTGTGTCTGCCTCTGCACGGCCCCTCTTGTGATATGTTCTCTAAGTTGAAACACAAAAAGAAAATCTGCCCTCGCTCACTTCGTAGCTGGAAAAGGCAGAAGTTTAGTGCCCTTTAGAAGTAACTACGGACATTCTTCTTTGCTATTACACCAAAACTCGACAAGCGGGAGTCTTTGAAAGGTGAGGGACGGTGTGGGATCAGAAACCATGTCAGTGACCCTTTGCACCCTGTTACTTAGTAACTACGGTCCGCCTTGAACAATGACAGCGTGATTGTGTAATACCATGCATGGGTCACCCAAAAGACCTCGTTCATGGAGTTACTCAGGGCCTCCAAATTGTGGTCCAACACAGGATAGTTTTAAAGTCACAGTTGGGCGGGTTGCGCCTGAGTGGCTCGGTGGGTTAAAGCCTCTGCCTTCAGCTCAGGTCATGATCCCAGGGTCCTGGGATTGAGTCCCGCATTGGGCTCTCTGCTTTTAGGGAGCCTGCTTCTTCCTCTCTCTCTGCCTGCCTCTCTGCCTACTTGCGGTCTCTGTTTGTCAAATAAGTAAATAAAATCTTTAAAAAAAAAAGTCACAGTTGGAACCACTATCCGTTTACTTTTTTTTTTTTAAGATTTTATTTATTTATTTGACAGAGAGAGAGATCAAAAGTAGGCAGAGAGGCAGGCAGAAAGAGAGGAGGAAGCAGGCTCCCTGCTGAGCAGAGAGCCTGATACAGGCCTCGATCCCAGGACCCTGGGACCATCACCTGAGCTGAAGGCAGAGGCTTTAACCCACTGAGCCACCCAGGCACCTTATCCATTTACTTTTAAAAATAACTGAGTTTTCTGTCACAGAGGCAGAAAATACAAGTTTTTCAAAATGGTGATTCTCTTGCTTGAAATCTCGAATTTTCCCACCAGCACCAACTATTGTCTGCTATTCTCCTAGAAATGAAAGGTTTGCTTTGCTCTTTTTTTTTACTTTTTAAAGATTTTATTTACTTATTCAAGCGAGAGAGAACGCATGAGAGAAAGCACGAGCAGGGTGTGGGGAGAAGGAGAAGGGGAAGCAGGGTCCCTGCTGAGCAGGGAGCCCGACGTGGGACTTGATCCCAAGACCCCAGGATCGTGACCTGAGCTGATGGCAGACGCTTCACTGACTGAGCCACCCAGGCGCCCCTTTGCTTTGCTGTTTAAGAAAATGTCCGCGGAACACCTGAGTCCGAATAACCCGTCCCGTGTCACTTGTGCTTTGAATTGAAACCGTGTTCTGGAGCCCAGAGCCCAGCTGAGCGGAGCCCCGGCAACTGTCCCCAGCTTCCACTCGGACCGCCCGGCCGGGGGACAGTGTGGGTGCTCTGTGTGCTCCTTCTGGTCCATCGCAGGGAATCTTGCAAACCGCTGCGCTCCGAGGTTGAGCTTTGGAAAAACCCGCCTTGCAGTCCTTCAGCGAGGAGGCCTGAGCAGAGTGGGCTGTGCTCGCTTTCCCTGGAGGCCAGCGGCGAGTCCAGGGTCCGTCCCTGCCGCGGCTGCGACCGCCGTCGCTCTGTTGCCTCGCAGGAGGGTCAACCCCGTGACACAGGCAGGGGACCTCCTCGTGTGACTCCGGAAATCATCTCTTTCGTAAAAATAAGAGCAACACGGCAAAGCTCGCGCGGTCATTGAGTTACGCTTGCCGCTCGACGTTTGTTCCGGCCCCGGGGGCAGCGAGACTCGGTTGCCGTGACCGACAAAGCTATTCCGCACGGGCCGTTCGCGACGGGTTTGATATCCAGATCTGAGGCCCCGTTTTCTCCATTTAAACAATCCTGCGCTTTCTCGCCGATTAGGTCAAAGAGACAGCTTATTTTCGATAGTGCTAGCTGGGTCGTTTTCACTCAGCTTAATTATGAAAGCCGCTCGGTTTATGTATAAAAATACTTTCCATTAAAACTCGAAGCTTGTGTCATCCGATAAGGGTTCGAAAAAATCACTCTGTCCATTTCAAACCCAAATCCTACATCTGATGACCTGTTGTTAATTTAGAGTATGAACTTGTCTATTAGAGCTGGGAACCTATAAAATGTGAAAATGCATAACCACTCTCAACCCGTTTGTAGAAAATCGCAGCTCCCTCTGCAGCGGGAGGGGACCCTGGGGGCTCACAGCCCTCATTAGACACCAACAGAGCGTGCAGTAGGGTGGGATCGGGACGTGACTGTGACATTGGGGAAGAGTTCACACGAACCTGAGCGGGTTGTTTGAGATGGTGATGTCAAACAGCAGAGAGAGCCACGGCCGAAAGTGTCACTGAGGCCAGGCGGTGACCACGGCAGGGTGGTCTGCTGTAGAAAGGTGGCCTTGGTGGTGGCGGGAAGGAGGAAGGGGCACGCCCGGAGGAGTCTCTGTGGCTCCTCTCAGGGTGAGGGTCCGAGTGTCCTTGTCGGCTGAGGGCTGAGGAATGGGAACTAGGAAAATGGGAAGGCAGACACCACGGAGAGGAGGAGCCAGGCCATAGCCCACGTGGCAGCTCTGGGCAGCTCCCCAGGTCCCCTTCCCCTCCCACCTCTGGTTCATCAGGTAGCCCCCCAGAGCCTTGCTCCGGCAGAAAGAGCCCAGCACCTTTGTCCCTTCTGTCCCACTGCTTTTGGAGACCAGCACTCGACCAGTGGGAGTTTCTTGGGTTCTGTGGGTCACACAGGTCTGGGGGAGCCACTCGGGGCCGCTGGGTGCCAGGTAGGGGCAGGGCACTGTGGCCGACGGGGCCAGCACCTGCTCATGCTCACTTTGTGTCCCCTCCACGCCCCCCCAGACCACCATGCCTGGGATGAAGAGGGACTGCGGAGGTGCCGCGGCCATCCTGGGGGCCTTCAGAGCTGCCATCAAGCAGGTGAGTGCAGCCCTGCCTTCTGCAGCCCTCGTGATGGAGGGCTCCCTGCTGTGAGCTGTCCCTCCTTCTCCCCCAGGTCCCAACCCCCGGTGTCCTGAGTCCCCACAGCTCCATGTCTCTCCCCCTCCAACTGCCACGTTGCATACCCCTGGGCTCCCAGAGCTTCCTGCCTTCTGCCAGGGCTGCTTGTCCTGTCACCTCTGCCTGGGGGCATCACCTCTCCTGGGGCTGTCACCTCTCTTGGGAGTGTCACCTCTCCTGGGAGTGTCACCCTCCTGAGGGTGTCCTCTCGTGGGATTTTCACCTCCCAAGACTGTTACCTCCCTGAGGAGTGTCACCTCTCCCCGGGGTGTCACCTCCCATGAGGCTGTCCCCTCTGCCCGGATACATGGCCTCTACCTGAGTGTGCCTGGCCATGCGGGTCACTCAGGGTCTGGCTGTATCAGGCCCCCCCATGAGTGCTTGTTCTGTGAAGAAACCTGACTAAAACCATATGGAAGAGCACGACCACCATGCTGGGCCCTGGATCCCACTCATGAGCACAGGCCTTCCTGGGTACCCTTCCCAGTAGCCTTCCTCTGCGTCACCATGACCCCTGAGCAAGGGTTAACTATGGGCCATGTGGTGGGACTGCTGAATGTGCCAGTGGGACCCGGGGCCACTGTCTCCATGCTCTGCACACCAGCCGTCCAGGGTCCGTCACAGCCCGGGGGCTGTCCTCTAACGTATTGCGGTGCAGGGGCCCCTGAGAATCACTACATTTGTATCTTTGGAGTAAATACTCAGTGTGCACTTGCTGCGTCATAGGGTAGCTTTATTTTCAACTTTCTGAGGAACCTCCACACTGTTTTCCAGAGTGGTTGCACCAGCTTGCATTCCCACCAACAGTGTAGGAAAGTTCCCCTTTCTCCACATCCTCGCCAGCATCTGTCCTTTCCTGACTTGTTAATATTAGCCATTGTGACTGGTTGAGGTGGTATCTCACTGTGGTTTTGATTTGTATTTCCCTGATGCCAAGTGATGTGGAGCATTTTTTCATGTGTCTGTTCTCCATTTGAATGTCTTCTTGAGAGAAATGTCTGTTCATGTTCTCTGCCTATTTCTTGATTGGATTATCTGTTCTTTGGGTGTTGAGTTTTATAAGTCCATTTTTGATTTTGGATACTAGCCCTTTATCAGATAAGACATTTACAAGTATCTTCTCCCATTCTGTCCATTGTCTTTGGTTTTATCTACTATTTCCTTTGATTGTGCAAAAGTTTTTTATCTTGATGAAGTTCCAATAGTTCATTTTTTCAAAAGATTTTATTTATTTATTTGACAGAGAGATCACAAGCAGGCAGAGAGGCAGGCAGGGGGGGGAAGCAGGCTCCCCACTGAGCAGAGAGCCCAATGTGGGGCTTAATCCCAGGACCCTGAGATCATGACCCGAGCCGAAGGCAGAGGCTCAACCCACCAAGCCACCCGGGCGCCCCCAGCAGTTCATTTTTGCCTTTGTTTCTCTTGCCTTTAGAGACGTGTCTAGCAAGAAGTTGCTGTGGCCAACGTCAAAGAGGTTGCTGCCTGTGTTTTCCTCTAGGATTTTGATGGATTCCTGTCTCACATTGAGGTCTTTCACCCATTTTGAGTCTATTTTTATGGATGGTGTAAGAAAATGGTCCAGTTTCATTCTTCTGCATGTGACTGTTCAATTTTCCCAACATCATTTGTTGAAGAGGCTGTCTTTTTCCCATTGGATAATCTTTCCTGCTTTGTCGAAGATTAGTTGGCCATAGAGTTGAGGGTCCATTTCTGGGGTCTCTCTTCTGTTCCATTGATCCATGTGTCCGTTTTTGTTCTAGTACCATACTGTCTTGATGATGACAGCTTTGTGATAGAGCTTGAAGTCTGTAATTGCAATGCCACTAGCTTTGGTTTTCTTTTTGAACATTCCTTTGGCTATTTGGGGCCTTTTCTGGTTCCCTACAAATTTTAGAACTATTTGTTCCATCCCTGTAAAAAAGTTGATGGTATTTTGATAGGGATTATATTGAATGTGTAGATTGCTCTGAGTAGCATAGACATTTTAACAATATTTGTTCTTCTAATCCGTGAGCATGTAATGTTTTTCCATTTCTTTGTGTCTTCCTTAATCTCTTTCATGACTGTTCTATAGTTCTCTGAGTACAGATTGCTTTCTTCTTTGGTCGGGTTTATTCCTAGGTATCTTATGGCTTTGGGGGCAATTGCAAATGGAATCAACTCCTTAATTTCTCTTTCTTGTGTCCCATTGTTAGTGTATAAAAATCCAAATGACTTCTGTGCATTGATTTTATATCCTGCCACTTTGCTGAATTCCCGTATGAGTTCTAGCAATTTGGGGTGGAGTCTTTTGGGTTTTCTACATGGAGTATCACATCATCTGCAAAAAGTGAGGGTTTGACTTCTTCTTTACCAATCCAGATGCCTTTTATTTCTTTTCGTTGTCTGATCATTGAGGCCAGGACTTCTAGTACTATGTTGAACAGCAGTGGTGAGATCGGACATCTCTGCCATGTTCTTGACCTTAGGGGAAAAGCTCTCAGATTTCCCCATTTAGAATATTTGCTATGGGCTTTTCATCTATGGCTTTTATGATATTGAGGTCCGTTCCTTCTATCTCTACACTATGAAGAGTTTTAATCAAGAAAGGATGCTGTACTTTGCCAAATGCTTTTTCTGCCTCTGTTGAGAGGTTCATATGGTTCTTATCCTTTCTTCTTTCTTTTTTTTTTAAACTAATGTATTGTATCACAGTGATTTGGATGTTGAACCATCCTTGCAGCCCAGGAATAAATCCCCCTTGGTCGTGGTGAATAATCCTTTCAATGTACTGTTGGATCCTATTGGTCAGTATTTTGGTGAGAATTTTTGCATCTGTGTTCATCAGGGATATTGGTCTGTAATTCTCCTTTTTGGTGGGGTCTTTGTCTGGTTTGGGAATCAAGGTCATGCTGGCCTCATAGAGCTTGGAAGTTTTCCTTCCATTCTACTGTTTGAAACAGCAGAATAGATATTAATTAACAGAATTAACAGAATAGATATTAATTATTGTTTAAATATTTGGTAGATTTCCCCTGGGAAGCCGTCTGGCCCTGGGCTTTTGTTTGTTGGGAGATTTTTTGATGACTACTTCAGTCGCATTGCTGGACATGGGTCTGTTCACATTTTCTTTCTTCCTATTTCAGTTTTGGTAGTATATACATTTCCAGGAATACATCCGTTTCTTCCAGATTGCCTAATTTGTTGGCACATAGCTGCTCGTAATATGTTGTTATAATTTTATGTCTTCGGTGTGTGTTGTGCTCTCTCCTCTTTCATTCATGATTTTGTTTATTTGGGTCCTTTCTCTAGAGGCTCCACTCTTAATTCCTAAGAATCTGCACAACTATAAGTAGGAACCAAGTGTTGACTAAATAAGTAAGTGGGGGAGGGGAGCACTGTTTCTCCAGAGAACCTCCCTGTACCCACTGCCGAGGAGGGACGGAGACAGCAAGTCGTTGGGGGGCAGACAGCACTGTAAGAGCGAGCAACGGCTGCTGGAACCCAGTGTGGGAATGCCGTGGGAGCGGGATGGCTGGTGTGGCTGGGAGTGACTTGGAGGGACTCTGCCCGTCAGGGTCCCTGTGTCCCCGCAGCATGACCAGGATGGGGCCCCACGCACGATCCACTTTTGAGACAAGGTCCCAGGAAGAAAGTGGCGGGTCTCCAGGTGTCCTGCCGAGTGTGGGTGGGGAGCGCAGGCCCCAGGAGGCAGTGAAGCGTGAGGTCACCAAAGACGGAGGGTGGACCCCAGGAGTCGCAAATTGAGGAGACTGAGGTGATGGCTGAGTCATGTGCCTGGGCTGGACCCGATGCCCAAGTCTGTGACGAGTCCGCGGTGCAGACCAGCGCACAGGGCACATCAGGCATTTGCCCTGGAGGGGGTGGGGGTCCCAATCAGGGGTATCCAGGGATCATTTGTATCATTTTTGCGAAATTTTCTGTGAGTTTGAAATTATTTCAACATTAGATGCTTTAACGTGTTTTAAAAGGAGAGGCTGTGTGATGCAGTGTTGGGCTTGCTAGGAGCAGGTGGCACCTGGTTCTGGGGCAGCCATGACCCTCCAAGCCTTACGTACCTAAAACCGCAGCTGCCTGCAGCTTTTCAGTCCCCCTGGGGATCCAAGGCCTGTGTGTCTCACCCTTGCACCCCAATACCTGCAACATGAGCTCAGAAACCCCCTGCCCAAGGCCCATAGCACCCTCTAAGCTGGCCTTCCCAAGGGGGACCCCACACCAGAACAGCAGCATCCCATACCTTCTGAGTCCAAAACTGGGGGGAAGGCACCCGACAGGGTCAGGTTGGGGACCGTGGTCTCTCCTCACCATCCTGCTGTCCCACCTTTACGTAGTGCTTTCTCATGCTCTGCAAACTCCTCTCGCCTCCAGGCCCAGACCTGACATTTAATCCCAGCCACTCTTGGGGGTACCTTTGAGCTGACGGGCTGCCCGGTGTTGCGGCCCCCGAAAGCAAGGAGGGGTGCTTTCCCAGGCACTGGGTGTTGGGCTCAAGCTCAAAGCCATCCCCACTTGGTGACGTGGCTCCAGCCCTTGCCGCAGGCCTGTGTTTACCTTCGCCGAGGGCTCTGAACCTGTGGTGGAAGGATCACCGTTGCTGGAGGGGCCAGGCACACCCCATGCCCAGAGGAGACGCGTCCTGGTTATGGGCTCAGGTCCGGGAGCAGAGGACAGGCAGGGACAGGGTGTGGCACCTCTAATCCCCCTACCACTGCCACCTGGGCGAGGCCTGCTTGGGGTTTTCTGGGGCAGGTTCAGGACCCGTGTGGGGCGGAAACTGCCGCAGCCTCTTTTGTGCACGTCTCTCAATGTAGAGACATCATGTGTGGGCATCAGAAAACTAACTTCCCACCTCAGTTTCTGTGAGGCAACTCTCCCCAACCCCCGTGCACCTGCACCTGTACGTGTGTGGCTTGCATTTGTGCAGCAGTGCCGAGCGCAGAGGGCTTGTGCAGTGAGAGACGCTGATCACCGACCATGTTTTGTGGATGGGAGGCCAGGGCTCAGCTAGCAGCCTGGCCCTTGTGCTGGGTGATTGGTTGAGCCAGGATTAAAGCCGGAAGCCCAGCCACACTTGTGGGCTCGTTTCTGCTTTGGGTGGGCTCTGATGGAGGAGATAGAACTCCCCAGCTGGGGGGCTGCCGGGACTGCTCCCCAGGGCTCTGTCTGTCCATCTGTCCCTGAGGGTAGAAGACTCTGGCCTGTCCTCCCTCCTCCATGCACGGCCACATGTACCTTGTTCCCTCCAGGGTTTCAAAGACAACCTCCACGCTGTGTTCTGCTTGGCTGAGAACTCTGTGGGTCCCAACGCTACGAGGCCAGACGACATCCACCTGCTGTACTCAGGAAAGTACGTCTGGCTCCCCTCACTCCCTGGCCACCCCAGGGCTGGAGCTGGCAGGGGGCCCATCTCCTTCCCAGGACTGGGCCGGTCAGCTGGGGCGCATCCCCTGGGGAGGGCACCATCCCAGGAGCCTGGGGAGGGGCAGCTGCATCACTGGACAAGGCGCTGGGCTCCCTGTGCCAGGGGGCCTGCCCCCAGGGTGACCCCGAGAGGTGCTTCCATTTTTGCATTTACCCAGTGCCTGGCCTTGTGGGCCAAGGGCTAGCTCAGTGCAGTGTATGCTACCCATACAACCCTGTTCTCCTATCTTACAGACGAAGAAACCGAGGCCAGGGGCTGGGCAGCTTTCCCTGGCTCCCACTGGAGGGCAATGGGGTGGGATCTGACCCCGGCCCTGGTGCTACGTTGTCCTAGGGGATGGGCGTGGCCCTGTCTCTAGGAGACTGGGGAGCCAGAGGGCAGAGGGCTCTAAATAGAGTCTCCCCGGTTCCAAAGGGACTTGCTCACAGTGCCCCAGGGAGTGCCATCCCTGAGCTGGGGTCTCTGCTCTGCCCCAGGACTGTGGAGATCAACAACACTGACGCGGAGGGCAGGCTGGTGCTGGCGGATGGCGTGTCCTATGCCTCCAAGGACCTGGGTGCGGACATCATCCTGGACATGGCCACACTGACCGGAGCTCAGGTGGGCCACTTTGACTCCAGGGGGGTGGCGGGGGGCCTGGTGCAGTCCCCTAATCGTTGGGGCCTGGCCAAGGAGGCCGGGGATCTCATCCCGGGCGCCCAGCGCAGCGCAGGTGGCAGAGCCCGTGGGCCGGGCCCCAGCGCGCAGACAGTGTAGGGACCGTCCTCCCTGGGATGCTCACATTCTTGCTTCCTTCCTTCTTTGCTGCTCGCGGCCTTTCCTGGCTTCTCCATCCTCGGCCTGTGCTCCGTCTGGCCCGGCCCCCCTCCCAGGGCATCGCCACTGGCAAGTACCACGCCGCAGTGCTCACCAACAGCGCCGAGTGGGAGGCAGCCTGCGTGAAGGCCGGGAGGAGGTGCGGGGACCTGGTGCACCCCCTGGTCTACTGCCCCGAGCTGCACTTTAGCGAGTTCACCTCGGCCGTGGCCGACATGAAGAACTCCGTGGCGGTAGGTGTGCGGGGCGCCCGAGGGACCCAAGACGTGGCAGCAGTGGGGCCCCAGATCCACACGCAGTGGGGAAGCATCCAGACGTGGCTCTCTCTGGTCTCCCCACCAGCGCGTCCATCGTGTTGGGCACTGGGGGTCCCCGCTCCAGGCTCTGCTTCTTCGCCGCTCCAGCATCGCGCCAGGGTGAAGGCAGACCCCTTAACCCACGTGCAAGGTCCTCGGGGTCCCTCTGTGCAATCTTCCAACACTGGGGATCCCCCACCCCCAGGCCCCTTCTTGCAGCCACTAGGGGAGGCGGTGTCTGGAGGGTGGGTGGTCGAGGGGGCACAGGGGCACCCACTTAGGTCCAAGCGGGAGCAGCCCCAGATGCCCCTCCCCCACGCCCCCGCTGCCGGGAGCAGAAAGGTCACCTTGTGTCCTGCTGTCCCCCCAGGACCGGGACAACAGCCCCAGCTCCTGCGCCGGCCTTTTCATCGCTTCACACATCGGCTTTGACTGGCCTGGGGTCTGGGTCCACCTGGACATCGCCGCCCCGGTGCACGCCGTGAGTCCGGGCTCCCCCGTGGTGCCCTCCTTTCCCCGCCTGCCCCGACCCCCCCACGCGCCCCTCTCACTGGCCAGGCTGCTCCCACCCTCGTGCATCCGCGGCCCGCTCTGGCTGCGGGTGGAACTCGTCAGAAGCATTACGTGTTGGGGTCACACTGCCTATGGCCCGACCTCCACAGGTCAACCACAAGGGGTGCCTGCACCCCCAACCTCTGGTCTCCGTGGCTCTGGAAACAGAGGGGCTGCTGGGTGTGGTCCTTTTCCGGCCAGCCTGTCCTTGCCTGGAGGCCCGGGGCCCTCAGCTCCCCCTTTCCCACCCAAGAAGACCCGGGGCTTGGGACCAGAGTGCACGGAGCCATTGCGCCACCCCACCCTCTGCTGAGTCCCGTGACAGGAGAGTGGGAGGGGGAACTGTAGGACAAGTGGGGGGGGACCGGGAGCCCCTGCCCGCAGAGAGGGGCTTGCTGGGGGGGTCCAGCTCTGCCCGGCAGAGGGTTTCCAGCCTGCTCTTTGCCCACAGGGGGAGCGCGCCACGGGCTTCGGTGTGGCGCTCCTGCTGGCGCTGTTCGGCCGGGCCTCCGAGGACCCCTTGCTGAACCTGGTGTCCCCACTCGGCTGCGAGGTGGATGCCCAGGAGGGGGATGTGGAGAGGGACTCCAAGAGGCGCAGGCTCGTGTGAGGCCGGCCCCTCCCTGGCCCCCTGGCACCAGGCTCTTTACCTCACTTTGCACTGATGAATTTTAAGCAGTTGGCAGAGGACACCTGAGATAGGCTTTGGTTTGTTTTTCTTTTTAGTTGTCACGGTGATAGAAGCAGCTCCTACTTCTGTCCTAGAAGACAGCTTAGGGTCTGGAGGGTTGCAGGGGGTGGGTTGGGGTGAAGCCCTGGGGCTTGCTGCCCTTCCAGTGACCTCCCAGCTTCCCTGCCGGCTTCCGAAGACCCTCCTCCCCCCACATCCCCGGGGCCCCTGCACCCTCCAGGCACAGTGGGTGCCCATGGCCTTGTCTTGGCCCCCAGCCCCACACATGGCCCCACCTGCTAGAGAGCGCAGGCCCCTGCTCCAGCCGGGTCTGCCACCACCCCCAGGCAACCCTGCCCCTTTGGAAGGGTGGCCGTGACTTGTTTCAGGGACCCAGTCTCGCGGCACAAGGGGAGGCTCTGGGCCCTCGGGATACCCTGGCAGTTGAAGTCAATATGGCTGTATCACAGGACACCTTTGCCTCTGTCTCCTCTGTCTCCCACCCTGCGGCCTGCCCGTGGCTCCGAGGCTCTGGGCATTCCCACCTCCTCGAAACCCAGCATCCAGCACTGAGAGGCGGTTGGCGACCTCGCTTTTGCCACCGCGGAGAGCGCTGGGGCCTGGGAAGGGACGGGAGCGGGGGCCGGAGTCCTCGGGTCCGTGGCTGCCCGCCCCGGCTGGCTTGGTCTCCTGAGGCTTCACGACGCCGGGGCTTTGTGGGGGCCTCCCACGCTCCTGCTGTCTGCAGGGGAGTCCACCCTCCCCGCTGCGCACATCACCGGGCAAGTGCCCTGCGGAGTCGGGTGTGTCTCCTCCGCACGAGACGTCCCCTGGGCACAGCCTCAGTTCTGAAGGACACAGATGCAGGAGACCCGCCCTCCCTGGGTCCAGCTGCGGCTGGTGAGGCAGGGTGCCTGGGGGCCAGCCTCCCCCCAGCCCGGGTGAGAGCAGGAGGGGCCTTTGTCCCCTCTCAGGCTCCATCCCAGTGAGCCTTCGGGGACTCGGGCACCCGCCGACAGGGAGAAAGCTGCCCATACGTCCTCTGCTGGGGACAGGGGACACAGGTTACGGGGCTGTGCCCTGGCCCGCTAACCGCCTCACCCCTGCACAAGCGTCCCCAGACTCCCAAGTCCCTTCCCTCACTCTGGAAATCAAGGTGACTTTTGGGCCTGATCCCAAGCAAATATTTATGAACTGCCTGCTGCGCTCAGTGCTGGCTGGGCCCGGAAAAGGCAAGGAGCAGCTCTGAGGCCCCAGCCCTGTCTGGGAAAACCACGGCCCGACACGCTAAGTGACAAGAATAGCAGTCACAAGGTGCTAGGTGGGCAGCAGGCTCTGTGAGCGGAGGGGACGCACCCTGGGGGGCCGGAGGGGCCAGGAGCCTTCACGGTTCATTAGCCTGCTTAATGGCCTTGCAGTGGGGAGCTTTCTCCAGCTTCCCCAAGATGCCCCGGGGGAGGCAGAGGTCACGGAGGTGGTCTAGCTCCCTCTCCAGGCAGCTGGCACTGTCCGCTCCCCCCACCAGGGGGCTGCAGGGTGCAGGGTCAAGGAGCGGGGACGAACTGAGTCTCCCTTGTGCAGGCACAAAGGCAGCCTCAGGGCCAGGGACCCAGCTGGGGACCAGCTGCAGGCTCGGGGTCTAGCCTGCACGCCTGGCGTCAGGGGGACTGTGGGGGGTGAGCCAAAGGCCTGGCTTTCCCAAGGGCCAAAGGGCTTTAGGATGGGGCGGCTGCTTCCCGGGGCTGCTCTGGAGCCCCAGCAACAGGGTCAGGGAGCGGCCAGCAGTGGGGGCAGGTGGGCACTGGCGGGTCCACTCGGTCGTGGTTTCCGGCGAGCGGCCCGGTGAAGATTGCAGCTGCACAGCTTGTGGCCCCGAAGGTGTGGGTGCAGAGCCCTGGCAGAGTCCCCAGCACCCCCGCCCACACGGAGGGCCTGCCGGTGGCGGGGAGACCTGTAGGCATTAGCACCTCCATCCCAGGAGCAGCCCCACTACGCTGGGGGGCACAGAGAAGGAAACACCAGCCTCACAGCCCTCGAAACCGCCTGCAGGTGTGTCTGGGGGTCCCCAGCGCCTGCCCAGGGAAGGGCCATGCACCTGCCTGCAGCCAAACCCATGTCGCCCTGTAGGCAGGAATGAAGGACGAAACCCTGGAAATATCACTTTTGGGAAAAGGGTAGCGGTGGTGGCTGAGAGCCAGCCAGCTTCCCCCTTGCCAAGCAGGTGGGAGGACATCGAGACCCTGCAGCTGTCTGTGTCAGAGACAGTAAAGCCCAACGGCGGCGCGCTCCCAGGGCCTCGGGCACACAGGCCTTGAACTCCCCCTTGCAGGACGGCTCTGGGGAGCAGGGCGAGCGGGGGCCGGAAAGTTCTGCAGAGCCCAGGGCTCAGGGCCGGTCCTTAGGGCAGGGAGAGCCTGACAGGACCCAGCCAGGAAGCCCTGGCGAGAGGAGGGCTTCTCTCCATCCACTCACACCCCACTCCCTGCGTAGTTGGCTCGCGAAGTCAGTCTCCAGCAGGAAGAGAGCCAGGCCTTCGGGTGGCCTCGTGAACACACAGGATGTGGGCCTGGGCCTGTGAGGGCCCGTGGGGCCAGGGTCTGCGCTTGGTGCAAGTGGGGGGTGGCACCTCCCATGTGGCCTGGGTCACAAGAACCTGCCTAACCCCCAGACTCCCACATACACTTCCAGCTGTCACTTCCCCTTTATGTGCCCCCCCAAATCGGGGAAATGGACTTATTTCAAAGAAGTAGTTCCAACTGGATGAAATCCTTTCTGTTCAGGGAATGCTGATCATTCCATCATTTTGGAAAATCCCAGCCCACCTCACTGCCTCGGTCCGAATGGGGCCGGCCGTCCCCCCAGGAAGCCTCCGGGACTGCCCCCATGGGCAATGCAACGCCCACCCAGGATCAGCACGGCCCGATGCCCCAAATACGCCCCTTCTTGCACTGAGTGGTGCCTCCCCCGGGCTCCCTCCCCGGCCCCCCTCTGTGGCCCCTCCCGAGGGCCCCATGTTTGCAGTCTGCCTGGCAGGGTCAACCCTGTCCCCAGTGCGCATGCCCCCTAAAAGCTCTCAGAGGGGGGCCCCTCCCGAGCACGTCTGGGCCCCAGCAACCCTTCCCTGAGGACATGTTTGTCGAATTCGGATTTGCTGCGTGATTCTCTGCCCAGAACCTCTGTTCAGACTGTGTTCCCTGGTGAATTGGTGTTCAGCACTTTTGTTTATTTGTTTGTTCTTTAACAAAAGGTTGTTTTGGTTTGAGATTCAGCAAAAACACTCACACATTGCACTCGGCTTCCTCTCCGCTCAGATTCGGTAAATCAGTTGTTTTCCAGGCTGGTTCTGAGTCCTTGCCTCAAATGAGCCTCCAACAAGATAATGCATTTAAAAGCTCTTGGAAAAGTACCAGACCCCACGCACATGTGAGGTATTGTCATCCTGCGAGCCCCGCACCCCACACCCGGAGCCAGGCTCAGCTCCTGATCCCAGGCCTGCCCTCCCTCCTGACGGGCCCTGGCCCTCCCTTTCCATCCTGGGGGGCGGGGGGGGGGACAGGGATGGGATGCATCCTTATAGACCTCCCACCGGTGGACTATTTGCGCTTGGGTTCCCACTGGGGTCCCGAGAGCTTTCTTCAGGCAGGAAAACAAGATCAAAAACAACCCCCCAGATCGCGTTAAAACAAACTCCGAGGCCGAGGCCACGTTAGCACCCGGGACATGTGGGGGCCTGGAGCCAAGGTGGTGGACTGGGACAGGCTTCGCGGGAGATTCCGCCCATCCCCCCGCTGATGACGGACACGGCCTTAGGTCCCCAACTACAGACCTCTCTCGAATGCCAACGCTGTCCCTTTCCTCCAGCAGGTTGGCTGGCTTTCACTGGTGTCCATGTGCAAGCTTGGTCCAGTGGGGTGATGGACAGCTTCCTTGTCCAGTAGTATTTATTAAGTGCCACCTGTATGCAGCCCCTGCAAAGCTCATCCTTCCTGTGGGAACCCCGCTGCTGGTCGAGGCGGTTTTCAGCGGCCTCAAAGGGGGAACCAGCGCTGCGGGAGGCTGGGCGTTTACCATGCCCCCGGCACCCAAGGGGTTTGGGCTGAGTGAGGCAGAGGTGCCGGAAAGACCCCCAGACCCACCTCGAACGCTCACTTTCTGGGAGCAACCATGAGGGTGTTGCGGGCAACCATGGGAATAAACGTCTCATAAGCGGTTTGCTTAGTACGTGGCCAGGGAACTTAATCCCATCCAGGGTGTGGGGCTGGGGAAGCTGGCATGTGTGTCAGGACTGGGGCCGGGGGGGCAAGACCCTCAACGCAGGATGCCCAGCCCAGCCCCTGCCCCACGCTCGCCCTCCCACCGGCCTAGCCGCACCTGCCCCTCCTTTAGCGGCCAGAGGGCAGCGCGGGGCGGGCTCCCAGCTGCAGGAAGGCCGGGTGGGCCACGCTCAGCACGGGGCCGTCAGAACCTGGCTTCCCACCGCCTTGCGGCCCACCTGCGGCTGCTCAGAAGTGAGGGTTCGTGGAGGTTCAACCTCCGAGATCCCTGGTCAGCCAGCAAAACTCGGGCGCCCACACTTGTCACCAGCTGCCCTGACAAGCGTCAGAGGAAAGCTCTGAGCACAGGCGGGCCACAAAGAGCTTTATTTTTTTAGCCCCCAGAGTTTTTCAGAGACCAATTAAATGCGGTCCAGTGGTAATGGGCCTCAGGTCAGAAGGGCCTGGGGAACACAGTCCTGCCAGCCTGCAGGGCCCCCAAGGAAGGACCCTTTCCTCCTGTGGATGCAAGACAGCGCAGTCCCGTTTCCTCCCCAGCTCCGGTAAGAAAATGTGCTGTAAATAAATAACCCACAGACGGCGGTTTAATAGCGGGGACAGGCACAGCAAGGGAGGGGACCGGCTGGGGAAAGCTTTTCTCAGGAAAATGAGATCGGAACTGAGATTGCAAGGATGAGTGAGTATTAAATGATGCAGAACATGGAAGAATAATTTCAGGCAGAGGGAACTGTGTGTGCAAAGGCCCTGGGGTGGTGGAAGCCATGACATGCGGAAGGAGAGCAAAGGAGGCCAGTTGGCTAGGAAAGAGAAAGGGGCATAGGGATAGGCAGTGGCAGGAGGTGGTGTGGTAAGCAGGGCTGAGCGCACACAGACTTGCAGGCCCCTGGGCACTTGTTTCTATGCTGAGAGCAGTGGGAGCCCCTGAGGAGTTTTGAGCTGACGACAGG